TAGGGCGCCAGCAAGACCGCCAATCAGGAATCCAGAAACGCAGACAGAAGCTATGACTGTTACATATGCTTCATCTGCTGAACCATGGCGGTCAGCAGTGACGTTGCCAATGAAATCTGAAATCAGCTGCACCGATGGAAGGGATACAAAGTCAACTACTTGATATGGAGCATTTATTACTCCTGTGTGAAAGCCAAATTGAAACGATGTGGAGATCGCTGTGACAAACAGGATGGCCTTCAATTTCAGCGGTAGCATTCTATTAAGCTTTTACCATTCATGCAATAGGATCGTTGTATAGCCGCTCGAAAGATCCAGATATCTGAGACCAAATCTGTAAGCGGAAAGAAGAGATCAAATTCAAGCGACCCGACATCGTGCTGACTACTAACACGTACGAGAAAATAAAGCAAAAATGGCGTTGACGTCTTGCGCCACAATGGGTTTTTCGCGAAAGATTCTGTCCTGTATTACCATTCAGTTAACATCGGATGTTCTTCTGTATTAAATTGTTTTGCACCGGATTTGAAACTGTCTTTTCAAACTGGTCATAAAGCAGACGGATAGATAACTAATATCTCCGTCATTGAGGGTCTAACCAGATGCCTGTCTACTCTAAATTCGGGGATTTTACCATTTATAACCCGTTCGCCAAATACTTGGGAACTGTCTGGGACGGTTGGTAGGTGCTATAAATTGTTTATCCAAAAAACGTGCAACCAAAACCTGTTTGTGAATGGTACGGCTGAAGCAAACAGGTCGGAGACTACATGCGTTGTCGACAAATACTGCATACGGCATATTAGAAGTAAAGTACACGTCTTCTGATAAGTAAAGCCATTGAATTTCGAAATAGGGTTCAAAACAGCCGAACCACGGCACGAGCATATACCTGTTTTATATTACCAGACGGATACACAGGAGGTCGCGAATGGGAGGAACCTTTGGAAAAATTAGGTGTCAAAACCTAGTGGTCTAGCGGTAGACTGTATAAATAAGCATTCACTGCACAACTATGCGCACAGTTATGTTGCTAAAAACACGAAAAACTGATGAACTGGTGATTCTCAGCAGGCCCAAAGTGGATATTATCACAGGCAGTTGGTTTATTTCAAACGTCCTTGATACGGATATCAACCTCAACAGTTACACAGAAGAATAGGTCTAAAAACAACTAGTCTAGAGTTTCCGTCATCATATGCACAGTATACGCGATTGTTTAATTAAGGATAAGATTTGACACTAACACCAAATTGCTTCTCCGATGAAACATATCCAGTGTTGTTTCAGATGACTGCAAGTGGTCTAAGATGAGGAAGAAAGACGAGGTAACTATGGGCTACATCGGTCTTCTTCTAGTTGATTGGATTACGTAATCCTATCAGCCTGGGACGAAGCACACTCGGAACGATGTCTAGACAGACAGCATTATGGTATTAGTCAACACGAGTGATCCAAGAATGGTGCATCGTGCCTGCTGTTTGAATTCTCTGTGACCACTAAATTTGGTGAGGTAGAAGCTAGTTCTTTCCCAAGACAGCAAACCTGGGAGCCAGGTTTTTGGCCAGCAAGTTACGTTAAGGGATGCATTTTGCACTCGAGGGTGAATTTTCATCATGTAGCTCTATGGAGGGTCAGCTTTAAGTTCACTTCCTTCAAGTTTAAGGCAATCCGAACTAACTCTTTCTCTCTGGAAGAAGAACAAACTGGATATTCGCCAATACATTAGCTTCTGCGGCAGGTACACTCCACAAAACGTGTTCAACTGTTCACCGTTGTAAATGTCTTGTTGCAAGCGACTTGTAACGATATCAGCCTTCTTTTTGCTGCTGGCGGCGTTGCCTAGGGCTAGCTCGAAACCTTTTACGCGGAAGTCCGAATAACAAGGAAGGATTGATGTGGTTTCCTCTAAAAGCTACTGAAAAGATTCACGACGCAAACTTACATCCTTTAAGCAACAGAAAGCCTGCATGGCCGGAAAATGCTGAGAGTAGGGCGTGAAATCACTTGAACACCACAAGATATGACAATCGAGTTTTTGGCAGTACTGGTCTCCTGATTCATAAAGGCATTTCGACAGTACTGAGTATTTCGTCGGTAATCGAGTGTGGTAAAGATTTTGTTTGTTCGTGTATCTTATGCTGTGTGTGCTAAAAAGTTGTCCCAGACTGTATTCATATTGACAACCAGGTATGCCGTGTCGCTATGTACCGCGATAACCCTAGGAACCATCTTGCCTTTGCAAACTTGGAGAGGAAAATTCAGTCACTACCTCATATATATCCAAATGTGAAAGTAAAAGTAATATTTTCTTCGAAAAACGGGGGAGGTAGGTGGTTTTCAGACGGCGTTGAAGAGTTAACTTCATGAATAACTTTAAGGTTTGTATGGTTGACCACAAAATCTACAGCACATTTCGTCAACAGATACAATGAGTTGGTTCTACCGAGGGAGATGCAGAGGGCCGCTGCTATCCTAAGCTATCCTCAGGCATCGAAGGTATCAGTGAAGATCGATAGCTCAATGATTAAGGCATACAATTACTGATCAAATGGTCTGCGGTTCAAACACAACATCGATATCTTGATTAATCCTGTCCAGGCTTGGACGACCTGATAGTATCTCAGCCTTTATGCTTCCTTTCGGGTGGTATGGCGGACAGGCACCAAAGGAGCGTTATTTTTATGTATATAGGTCGTTGTGAAGAACAAGGCCCATCGAATCAAACTTCCGTAACGTTGCAGAGCAGATCCAACAAGTAAGCGGTTGGATCTGTGTGGATAACTCACTTTGAAAGCAGCTAGTTGACTAGGGAGCTTTCAGTTGAAGTTTACAACGATGTCCAACTCGTGCTACCAACTTGACTTAGACGTAACATTATGAACACCACAATGTCCAAATAGCTCTGTGATGGATTACATCGAGCAGGTTCATGCAACATTCGTCTCCATGGATTCGTTATAATCAGAGTTCCAAAACCATTTGGGTGGCCAACCTGGACGTTTCAGGAAGGGGAAGTCACCGGAATAGACCTACTAGGAGCAGTTGAAGGTATTCTGTCCGTAGGACTGCGTCAAAGGAGATGGAGGATTCACCATTTTCGCATTATTCTGTTTTTAGATCAGGAAAAACTGGTGGCCTGAAACGCCTAAGCTTTGGTTTGATGGAGAGCATCCCTTCTCAACTCGATCACCTCTCATCCATTGGTTTTGAATTTCACCCCGCGGCAGACATCTACCAGATTGAACCAACGATGTTTTGCAGTGCAGTGATATCGGACTGCAAATATAGTCCCCGAAGAATCCTTTGGAGACTGTCCCATGAGCTGTCAACGGTACGACCGCACTTAAGAAAAACAGAGACTATGAGATGTTCCTTACAGAGATACCGCAAAATCATGAAAGTAATTTTGGGCACTATCTTGGAATCTCTAGGTGATTCGAGGATAGTATACTGGCAACCCGTATTAGAAGACGGGTCTAAAAATGGATCCAAGAAGAACGTAAATATGTAATCCTGAAGAGCCACTGTGCACCGCATGATCGTGATGTGATGCAAGATAAACCAACAGCGTTCCCGCCGTTCGAGATGCTAAAACACACTACTCGTTGAAGTGTGAACTTAAGGAGGGTTCAAGGCGGTTTACTTTTGCTTCCGGAAACATCATCACTAGCTCACCGATAGCAACGTATCAGTTGCAAACATCGATGCTCAACTGCCATACATAAAGTGAAGAAGGATAAAGGGTAGGAAGTTAGTACAAAAGCTTCATTTCCTTGAAAGGAGCTATCAATAACTAACCAACTGCGCTTTCACATGCCAGTGAGATAAGAACATTTGAAACGATCGCAGTAAGGTAACATCGACGGCATTGATGCAACATCTCTCGAGGACTTCATTCAACATGAGCCTGCGCAAGGATTTAGAAGATCTAGTTAGACATCCCGGCTAACAAACTGTCGAGCTGTAGCACCTTTTCGGTGCCCGACTGCTATGCCGCCAGAAGGAAGCACGAGGGTTGTCAGGTTGCCCAAGTCTAGACAAGGAAACTCGAGGAGTAGAGGCCATGTTCAAACTACAGACCTGGTCAGTAAACAAGTATTCTTAGTCATATTACCCAAAGTTCGGTTAGTAAGCGGAAGCGTGGTCTTTGCTCAAATCGATTGTGTTCTATTACTTGCGAGATTCACAACCAAGGATGTGGACTACAACGATGGCGTAGAGCACGGAAACCTGTCTGACTTCGGACGCTTTTATTTAGTGTTGCCATATCAAAGTATATTTTTCACCACTTTTCCGGGGACGGGTCCGAAATGAATGGTCGTGGTTTCTTCGGTAGACGGTGATTGAGTAGGCGTAATACATGTTACAGCAACCCTAACCTGATAGGTGTAGTTTGTGGCCGTGGAATTTGGCCTATCTAATTGGTACTAGCTTACGCCTACTAAGTCTCACTGAACCACGAAGCCACTGAAAATCAGTGAAAACTCTGGAAAGCCCACTATCAGTTTCAAAATCCCTAAGGCTCGTCAGTTAGTCCGAATTCTTCGATCTCAATCAACCCGATGTCGTAGCTTGACACCTAAATTGTACAGGTTTGGTGACATACTGGCATACTGAGATTATGTTGACGGATTGTCAGCCGAATCACTCACTTATAATAACCGACTGCACAAAAATCGATCCATATCGAAGTATAAAGGAATTCCAAAATGCCCAAGTACATCTCCCGTTATGACAGTAAGGTAAATATTAACCACGGCCGTCTAGCTTTATTAGCTACAAGCTGCAAAGATTTGGCATCAAGCAAAATTGCACTGGAACCCCGGATCAGCTCTTTGATCGAAGGAGTCACCTAACAAGCACAAAAGATGACAACTTATTCTGCTTGCACAAAGTCACAACATTGATTTGGTACGCACAATAAAGAAGACAAAATCTATGTAGGTGACCGGTTTCCTGTTTCCGTAAGTTCTAACCATTACACAATGAAGTCAAGAGAGGAGAAACAACCGTTACCTTCGGCAGGGCTTATTGTAGCCATAGGGTGGTGCAAGGCAGTCATACTCAGGATGAAGCACAACCTTGCCCACTACACAACCTTGCTGTAGATCGAAGCTTGTTTTATCGGTAAAACGGTATGAAGATTAGAATTCGACATTGAGGGCACATAAAAGAGCAAAATAAGACAAGGAAGCTTACTTACAGCCAGTTAGGATGGAAATGACCAGGATGAAATGTCATTTGAAAAATGGTGGAAGAATGCAAACACTTGTCTCTCAGGGGTCATGCAGCTCAAGCTCCAAAAGAGTGATTATATAACCAGAGTCTACTTGGCTCCTAAACTCTCTCACTGTAGTGGCTGGAACTAACATTTTTGCAGCATTTTTTAGTCGGTCGATCTGGATTCGGAGAAGCTGGTAAGTTTAGTCAGGTTGACTCTGCATGCTGTTTTTTATCTTTAACCCATCGACAGTGATCCTTGCTTAATTTACAGGAATAACAAGATTCTTCCGCATTTCGAGTGCTTTGGTGAGGCCACGCCTAAGTCGCCACATCTGTAAGGGAAATAGGTTTAGCTCCTTGAATGTCATCACAAGGAAAAAATCATCCGCTGACATGTGCTAGATATGCCCTTGCGTTTTGACGTCCCCTTCTGTTTGGAGCTTAATACATTCTTCTAGTATTTCAGGTGAAAGCAAGAAAGGATTTGATGAAGGGACATAAGCTCATGGGCCATACATAAGATATTTGCTCGTTCCACTGGGTACATTGTATAGTTGACCTTGCTTGAAATAGTCACGGCGTAAATAGCATAGTCATCTAACTGGATCCAAAGCTCTTTGACAAAGGCGTCTTTGGAGGGGGTACACGGTCCTTTAACTCACCTTGGAAGCGCTGCAAGAATGAGGTATCAAATATCGCAGGTTACGCATATTCAAAGAACTCCCACGAAAAGGCCTGATCACTGGAATAGAAGTACCAATAATCAATTTCCTGTTCGGTAGACATGTCCTATTGGCAATCTCCGCATCGTCCGTGAACATAGGAAAAAATTCTCAGGGTCCTCTACAAGATCAGAGGGCTGGACAGGTCAGCGTGTTTGTGCACGAATCGCAGCTGAATCCTCCTGATCTACCGAAGGTTGACCCGTGTTATCCGTTAAATGGAAATATCAGACAAGCGCAGGAAATTATGCCACGCTTTTCACAACCCACAGGGTGTGACGGTATGGGGTCGGACGATTCTGACGCCTGGTGTCGCTATTAGGGTTGGCAAATAGTGTAGTCCAGACCTTGCGGGGGAAACCTGTCAGCATTTCAATAGTTATCATCGATGTGGAAACGATCTCTGTGTATGGAATTCCAACCGCAAAAGACGCGCAAGTGGTCAGAACATGGACTAAATTTCAAAAGGCTGTACTGTAATGAGGCCTTCATTCCATAGTCCTTAAAGTGGTTTGCAGCAGAAAGACTGGAAAGTTGGTGGTACTGATTGTACGCGACTTTTAACAGTTTGCAGGATGAGAATGAGGTCACCCTTTAACATCCCATGGGCTGAGAGAATATTTGGCGGGATTCTAGGCGCCCGTTGAATGAGGTCTTTCGAAGTCCAGCTTTGTGCACTATCAACTTTTCACGACTACTTCAAAGTCACGGGCTTTATACTTTGATGGCAAAATCAAAACGCGGCCTGAGCTAGATCAATGATACATATGTGGGAAAAACTAACCCTAGTGTCCGAAAGCGCGTCGTACGGCAGTGAAAAATCGGTGTTGAACAGTGATGGCATAACGTCGATAATGATGATGATGATGATGATGATGATGATGATGATGATGATGATCATGCGACAAGAAGATAGGATGGATTTCGAAAGAAGTGAAAGCGAAGACGCGTAGCGTTCAACTGAACATAAAATCATTTGCATTTTGCCAGCTGAAACCAGCGTATAAATCTGTTCAAGGGAGTTCACGGTCGAGATGACGGATAGTTGTCCAGGTCGTCCACAAAAATTAGCACGGGGTTTAATTAGGTTGTATAGGTTTTGGAAGCAAGCAACTGCGAAAGATTATTCAGGATTCCTCACAGTCAGCGTTTACTAGTCGTAGCACTATGATGGTTGAATACAGTGTATGCAACCACGTAACAGCACAAAAAGTTGAGCGATTACCAGCTCCGATTAGAGCGAGAAAAAATCTACTTGAAAACGTGCCAAAAATTGACCTTCGTCGAATTGCACCTACTGAAAGGAGATACCGCGGATTAGTTCAGAGTTCACGGGTGTCCTGTGAATCAGAGGAAGTAACCCGGGGTTCCACATCAAATCCAGGAGGAAACCTAATCAAACAGAGGGAGGCCTTTGGCGTAGAGCCCAGCTTTCTTCAAGCTCACAGGGTGGCAGGCGACAAAAACTCAGTGCCAGTTGTCTAAATCTCACATTTATATCTCATGTACACTCCTAATCCTACTTCTCTTTCCTCTCCTCATTATCTTTGGTTTTAGCCATTTATTGTTATTATGCTTCCTCATTTTATGTATGGTGAACCCGTTTTTTCTCACAGACGAAAGCCTAACAACTTAATGTCTTCATGTAAATTTCAAGAGATTCCAAGGCTCAATTCATCGGAAAACAGTATGCATGATTTGAATCATCGTCATCGCTCATCTCACCGAGCGTAGAGAGTCTGGAACTAACGACCTTCCCGCCAATGCTAGAACACATAGCCGTGTGACCAAAAGCCGCTCATCAACAGTGTGACTTGCTCTTAGACAGGATACTGCGCCACTCATCATTCGGCCATGGAAGTCACATCATGTAGTCAAATACTGACTGGCTCCCCCAGTGGTGATGTCTCAGAAGGAAGTTGCACTAATCCTCCGAAATAATTATTCCCTTGAGGCACTTGTATGTTGATGGTGATGTGGGGAGTTTTGGCAGTTTTTAACCACCAGTAGCAGAAGTTTGCTTGCTGATGTCAGTGAAGCTGAAAGGATCAGGGGAGAGTGGAAGACGAAATGAAAGCCCTACCAGTTTACCACATCCCGGCGTACTACCATCATTCAATATGTAGCTCATTTGAACAGTGGTGAACAAGAAAGATGAAGGTTTCAAGTGAGTAACATTCTTTGAACATTGCAAACTATACAGCATTTGCAAGACATTATACGTTATTTCTAATTAGTTTGATAAATAAAGGTTAGTGGGATGTTGCCGGGCATCCGAAATGGCCCTTAGATATTGATCAACTTAAGGGGGTCGTTCTTACAACGGGTGCAGAATGGAGGGCCTCACCATTTATAGGGAAATGGTTGAAAGCCTGTGCGTTAACTTAGATGGGGTTCTGAGGAAACCTATCCAGACTACTTAAAGTGTGCGGACTGAAGCCGCACAGGGTTAGGCCTGGGGAACCGAGGGTCGCAGGCACCTCATCTAGATTCTTATTATAGACACTCGAGAATTTTGCTGTCGTTTAGCGTTAGTTCTTGACTCCTTTTGCGCCAGTAAACAGATTACTTACCGAGGTCGCAGCTCACAGGGATACTCAGCGATGCTGATAAGAGTCTACATGTACATGGGTTGGTGGTAGGCCCTTCAACTTCCCGTTAAGGTAAATTTGTGCTATCTCTGTGAGAAGGAAACCGTAATCCCAATAAATTTGGCCAGAAAATATGTACATAGCAACATTATCATTATTGTCCACCCGCTTTCGGAAGAGTTTTATTTTTGGACGCTGTGAAAAAAGCCACTTTTCTGAATTGCCACATAGCTGTTGCTTGAGGGCATATGCTGAGAGCCTATTTGGTCCTGATGATACTCAAGCTTGCCAGAACCACTGGGTACGCATGAAGCCTGCTGCCGTTCGATTTTTTAATGGATTTCTCCAGTCTAACAGTTTACTCCAGGCATCCAGGTGGATTTTACGAAGCAAAAATTCGGGGACCTTTGTAACAAACAAGTTGCTAATTACTCGGTTTCAAAGGAGAAGGCGTGCCTTTAAACCCTAACGAGGTTTACAGAAGAGATTTAAGCTGGAAGAGCTGAAATATTCTATCTAAAGCATGGGTGTCCCCCGAAGTATATGAAGAGATGTTCAGCCGTCATTTTAAAATGCTGAACAGCTCCTTCTGCAAATGACGCATAACCTACCTACTTGCCTTGTCACATGATTGGTGCACCTCTGTCGTTTGTAAAACGTAGAAAGCACTCTAGGCTTCCAGACCCATAGGCATTTATAGCCTGGCGCCGTATGACCAGGCTTTGAGATTTTTGGTCGTTTTTCGTAAAACATTGTTTGCCCCAAGTGGAGCGAACCAGTGTATTTTTAACTCTAGATGGCGAGTTCCTTAATTTTGTTATACCAGAATTTACGATCAAATCTTAGAGAACTGTGCCCTGTGAAAATTGCGCCTGTCTCAGTTCAAAAATTAAGGGAAGTTGCGGGCAAGGGGTTGCGCAAAAGGAGAGAAATATAAAACGTTTTCCCGGGTGAATTGAGACTTTTAGGTCATTGACCGACGTGTAGTCTACTAAAATGCTGTCAACCTGTCGACCAGCTATTGTGAGCCTGGCCTTCAACTCAAGGAATCCACAAAAACGCACCGCTGTTGTTTATCTGCAACTGGTTTGGAATTACCCCGGTTGTGATTTGTCTATCAACATTTAGAAATGCTAGTGGATAACAGCTGTTCCTTAGGTTGATTCTCATATAATATACGCATCGGGTAGACTGAAGGTACTCTGTGAGGCCCATGGCTAGCATCGACTTTTAAGGCGTCACCACCTTCGTTCCAGTTGGCGTTGCACCACCCCAAGTCTACCTATTATTACTGACTAGGTGGGAGGAAGATATTTAGTTCTGCGGAAAATCTGGGTTTTGGAAGTTATGGAGGCTACCGGTAGGTGGTTTGCGGTCCTCTGGATTTAAAAGCTTCTTCGCGGACCTACTTGTTCGCTGGAAAAGACAAACGCCTTCACTTAGGTTTTAAACAAAATGATAATTTTAGTTGATAGACGCTCTCTTGCCACGCTGTTTAAACAAGGACTTTTATGTCCCTTGCAAGGAGCTCCTTACTTCTTGGATCATGCCCTCCTTGCGGACTTTATATCAATCCCCGAAGACTGACGTGTCGAACTTAGTGAAGCAGACTACGGATCGGACGAACGAACTCTCACCATCAAGAGGGCAACTATCAGGAGTGGTCTTTTGGCATTTGGGAGTTTTATTTCTTGCATCGCCGCTGTTATCGTACACTCTCATACTGATCTACTGGGGTTCAACGTAATGGCTGGGTCTAATTTAGTCCTGTCATCAACGCGTAAGCAGGGAGATCCTGAAACCTATTGCTTTTCAAACTAAACAAGGGCGTGTGTAAATTTGGACGCAGGAGAGCTGTACGCGTACTCTTAAAATGTCGTCAACCGGCCGTGAGATTTGTACAGGTCTGGGCTTAATAACCTTCTGAAAAATGGCACAGCCAGCTCGAAAAAATGTTAGCTTTCCATAAACTTGTTAGTAGTCTTCAGTTGACTTTGTTTCGTAAGGTTACGTCATGCCTATCCAGGTTGTTCCAAACGATTCTGCGCTGTTTCTTGCCCGGGCTGTTTGTTCCTCTCCTGACAAGTAAAAATAATCAAAATGGCTCTAGAGAGTGTATTGTCATGAAAAGTTATGGGTTTGATGATTTTCCTAAAAAATGGTCTTTTTGTTGGTGTGCAACCCGGTTTTCTGAGCTAGTTCTGCTAGTTGGTCTGTTGTCAAGGTCGAAGTGTGGATAGTTCTGTTCTCTTCGCTGTGTGCATAATCTACGGATTTTGATGGCTTCAGCTATTTCATTCGCCACTTCAGCTTTTCGGTAACAAGGCTGTGAGCTTCAAAAAATATTCTATTCCTTGACCGGAACATCGTTTCTTTCTAATAACGAATTTTCCTGACATCGCTCGGTTCCCCAAAGCCAAATTTGATTTGGAAACTTTATTAATTTTGTGTCCTCTGTCGGTGCGTGTAGGTTTCGATTAATCGGCGGGGACCGTACGGTGACAGTTGCAAATATTTCTTTGCATTTTTAAGGCAGTCCAAATACCCCCAGTTGATGTGGAACTCGAAATCAAGCCTTCAGCTCCAGTTTTGGCCAAAATCGTGCAGATGGACTATTGATTCATTGCGCGAGTACTTTGACAGCGTATGGAAGCAGAAAGTCTTAACTACTGTCCTTCATTCGTTTGCCACCAACAACTCGAATGTCACGCAATTACTCCATCTGTACACGTCATTAGATTCTCATATGTAGGTCACCTAGTCCGGTAGTCAAAAATTCAGGCGTTTTGGTAGTATCTGGCACCCGTCAGTGCTTCTTCCCCTCCATGGGGAGGATAGACGCAGAAGTCTGAGGTGTTGTTTAAAATATGTATTCTGTGATATTTTCAATCTGGTCGTTTGTATCATGTCGCAATATTTTCTCCACATAATGAAAAAAAATCAGAGGTGAACACCGCATTCACCATAGTTCAAAAAGTAAGCATAGGTTGTATCTGCCTAAAAAACTGATAAACTTTTTCACGTGTTGCAGACAGGTTTCATGGACTATTCCTTTCGCGAACTTTTATTCAACTGAATGGAAATAACCTACGCGTTGATACTGCACCTGGCGGATTCTTTGGCTCTGCACAAGTGTAGGATGCCAGAATCTCGTGAACTGGGTTTGGTAGGTGACTTTAAAAAAAGGGGAAAGGAGTTTTACCGCCGAGGTCAAGCCCGAATCCGACCAATCAGGACACAGAAAACAGACCAGCCTGTTGGGAGTAACACAATCCACTGACGCACACACAGGAAGGTCATCCTCATGTCAAATCCAGAGGGATTAAAGACTACGTTGCAAAAATAATACTACAAACCAAATAGGATGAATAATAGGTTTCAATCATTGCTGCAAAAGAACTGGCGCTTAAATTATTTACGGTACATTGGAGCAAATTTAGGCTTTTGTTTGGAGATTGGAAATAAATTCCTTCACGTCTCGACGTCTACTGCAAATCCCCAGTACACCTTGATTGAATAACAGATTGTCAGGCTTACTCGTATCTCAAAGTTGGGTTATTTGAGGCCTTGGTAACAAAACTTCTGGGACGTTTCTCTACAACTTTGGTAGCTTCTTTGAAACGACAGCGGAATTCAAGGTTTTGAGCTGCTTTCAATCGTCTTGTTCCCCGAAAGTGTTTCAAATGGCTCAGTTCCCGTTTTTATCAACTTCAAGTGCCTAAAACCTTTTTTTTGTTCGCACATTCCCTGTTCCACTGCTCACCGTATTGCCGACAAAATACTGTGCCGCTAATTAACCATGATTTACAGTATGACGGCTACTCCAGCTGGAGAATGGGGTCTCCGCTGGGCGGCACCTTGTTCTATCGCAATCCATTAGATAGTTTTTTTACTACTAAGGTCCATCCTGAGGTGAATGTCAGCCACTGCGTCGGGCCTTCGACTCTATCTCTACAATCACAACACCAACACATAACCTTAGTCGTATTGTTCCATATCTACTTCAAGTCTCGACTACACTCAAGGGGGGCACTTCCTCTAAGGACACGCGCCAGTTTCACATCCAGCCAGGAATCTCACCTTCAGTGTCGATGAAGGCTAATCCGGGTGGTGAAATCCACAAGGCTTAGTCATCCTTTTACCGTGTCCGCGGGTTTTCTTGAGCGTGGTTCTCCTTCGAAGATTGCATGCCCCAAAACAGGTCCGCCTGAGGCGTCTGATACCAGTGGCAACGCTCCCACTCACTGCCAGTCACCTGGTTAATGGAAGGGGCCAATTACCAGCCTGATGCAACATCCTGTTGTCCCTAAAAAAACCTGGCAAAGCTCCACCGTCAGGCCATCCTAGCAACTGAAGCAACAGACTTGATCATGTACCCGCCTTAAGTAGCAACTTTGGACAGACACATGCGAAAAAATGTCATGGACGGAACCAGAGATCATCATGACTTCACACGTAATCACTAAAATCTGATCCATCTATCCAAGATGGTCCAATAATCCCCCACCGAAACCCATTTCCACTCCTTGTGTCTCTTCTTGGCTTCGAAATCTCTTATCTCTATTTCTGTTGTTTCTCACGTGGGCCGTCTTTATTACTTACAAATGCTTTTCTTCTGAACCACCCAACGAAAATCTGGTCACACAAACGATCTTAAGCATGGAGCCTGGAGGTCAACAAATGTCCTTTCTGGGCCACTAATTGTATGCTGCAGCTGAGCATGAAGAATGCCGTTTCTACTTTAATAAGACTTTCATTTTTCCCCATACCCTCTTAATCATTAGGGATGGGCTTGATTTTCTAGTCTCCATCGCTTATTCACCCTCACAGTAGATACGTGACCTCGGTTGGCTATCCTGCCTCGATGAGAATAATTCTCTGCTAATAATGTTTAAAGATGGAGCAGAAAACTCACCTTTTCCATACTTTTCTGGTCTTGCCTTCCCCTCATTTTACGTTTTACTTCAACCTCGCCTAAGTGCAGATATCTTTAGGGTGTTTACTGATCACATGCAAGCTTCTTAAGGCCATCAAACAGCACGAGTTTAATATTTCTTACAGTACCAACTCAAAGGCAATCGATACCGGTAGTGAATAGGAAAACCCTATCCTGGTGCCGACTGGTGACCGTAAGTAGTAACATATTTGAAATGGCATCAAGCCTAGTGGATAAGCGGAGCCAAATGTGTCATCGTGAAATACCTTGGCTATCAACCCAATACACTACTCATAAGATTGCTGAAAGCTCTGCGACAGCCCTCGACAGGTTTTGCCCTTCTTAAGCTGATCAGGTAGGCGCAGTACCCGAATTTCCATCAAATTTAACTTGAACCTCCATTGCATAAAGTTGGCGAATTACACTCATCTGCATATCAATTTCGTTTTGACGGGAGATTCACGTTGAACGTAGCTGAATTTCTCGTTTATGATGTTCTTAAGCAACCGGATATGCGAGATCAGGCCGCCTCATGTCTCAATCGAGATATCACGACATTCAAGTGGAACATAAGGTTCACGGAAACTTGGTGACTGCGCCTACCTCATGAGCTCCAGGAAGGACGAAACCGATGGAAGAGTTTTCGGCAACCTTGTGAGTAGTGTATTACGTCTTACAATTTATCGAGATATCTCAAATATCGTACCAACTGAAGTATGGAGTGGTCTGATGCCGCACATTCAGCTGCATATGAAGACCATAAATGTTAGATTTAGCTTTGTTCCAGGTGAGTTTTTCGTGGAAACAAAACTGAAAAGCAAATCAGTGTATTTGTCGATATCTGGGGTATTATTAAAAGGCATGCTGAATTGCACCGGTTACATCTATCATCCCAATACAAAAATGCTGAACCTAAATGAAACAGAAAGTTTGTTCCTCCATTATAGTATAATAGCGACCTTGCGGTCAATGCGTTAAATGTATTTATACGTAATTTTTGTGAGCCGCCCATCAAACTACCAGTTTTGCTCCAAATATCTCATCCGATTTGTGCTTGGGTACGACTAGTTGCTGGTCCCGAAGAGGTTAGGTTTTTTCTCAACCCCTGATATCAAAACCTCTAATAATTGCATTCGGGAATCACCGCTGTAGGCTGGTAGTAACCTGGCGTACAAGGTTAAAATTTCGAACAAAATATGCTCTGAGCTCTGTGAATTTGTACAAGCAAGTGTCAGAGGCATTTGTGTCCTTCAATCGGGATGCAAAATAGTGAAATCACCGACATTTCCGTTGCAGTGTTTGCGCCTAAATCAAACTGTAACCACTTTGGATTCTGTCTATACAGTAGTATGTCCGTGAGAGACATCCTTTGTTGTCATCCGTTCTGTCGAAACTCACCCGGATGTACGTCCGAATTTCTATCGATGTTGTGATGTCAGACCTTGGGTGCAACAACGTACGTGTTGAATGGCGTCGTATCCCGTCTAAGAGCGGGTTAATCAAAGTGCTGATCAGCCGTTCGTGGTCAAGCGGTCAGTTGTCTAGACTGCTAGCCTGAGGGTCGCAGGTTCGAGACTCCTATGAAGGTTGCACGGTTGACAAGTCTCATTAGGTTGAGACATATGTACGTTAATGCTATTCAGCTATTCAGCATAGATTGGTCCCACTTACGGGACAAAATCCCAACTGAATATCCATCCCGTCAGAATACAGTAGACTGATTGTCAGTTGAACATGCCGCACTTCCACAGTTTCCTCCTTCGTTCAGTACTATTACACGTTCTCATTTTTATGATCTTGACATCTTCCGATGTATATAAAGAGTTAGGTTCTGTCTGCAATTAATTTTAGATGCCTTGTCACTGGTAGTCATCAAAATATTTTACCTCTCACACTCTCCTACTCCGTTTTTTTACTTTTGATTTTCTCGTGCTCATAGTAATATGTTACCACACCAGAAAATTTTTATTTTGAGGTATAACATGAACTCGACCACTGCGGAATTATGGATACAAAAATATATACCCAATTTATAGGACAAATCCGAAGAAAGTTTTTATGCAAAAAGTCATTCTGAGCGTTTTCAACCTGGCTTCAGTGACGTGCTGGGATAAACAGCTTCCCTAGACGACCAAAAGAGAACTGACACAGAATTGCAAGGGTCGTTATCTAAGGAGTGCGAGCCTCCTTGATTCTGTCAGTTTCGCCATAGTTTTCCCAAGAGCATAAGATAATATGTTGCACTTTGTTCCTTATGAAGAGAGAATTCATCAACATAAAACTGACTTGAGGAGAGTTGTGTAGCGTTAGAATAAAAATCATGGGTTTAGAGATCGGGTTGATTAACGAGTGTTACTAGGGCGCACTGTCATGAATGACGCCTTCTTGAGGACAATACCAAGCAGTGTATTACGGGCATCGTGGAGGGAAAGCCAGAGTTGGGCGCACAAAAGATAACGGGACCGCGGGGTCGAAAGTGCACTTCTATATAGAAACATCCATACAGTTAGCACGAGTAGAAAAACAACCAAAAGTGAAGAGTGGTCGGAAGATGTTCTTACTGAAAAGTTGGAAGTCACTGAGTTATTACACGCTTCTTTCATCAGAGGGACAAAATGGGACCCGAGAAATAGGCGAAACTGGCAGTACACGGACCGAATCGTTATACACGATAGGATCTAAC